TCTTTCCCTCTTTATAGTGCTCTTTTGTTTTAATTGTGGAGGAACATGGATTTTGGGGTATTTTACAGTGACTGGGATTTTTCAGTTTTCCAATAGAGAACACCAGAATTCCTGCTAGGAAGGTCAGTGGCAGGACCCTGCCTGCTCAGAGCTGGCACCTTGGACCCAGCTGGCTATGGCTGATGTCCTGGCCAAATGGGGCCAGGAGGACATTAGCCTGACCACTATCCCGTGGAAGTCTTAGAAAAGATTATCAAAGAGACCATTCTTAACAGCTGATGGCAACATCCTGAGGGATAGCCGACATGCGTTTGTTGTGGGTAGGTCTTGCTTGACCAATCTTATTTCCTTTTATGACCAGGTGACCTATCACTACCTTTAAAAACCTGGCCCAATGGGTTTATTTGATTTTGCTGGTACAATGCCCATTATGGTGTTTTAGGAACAACATTCTGATATATCTTTCATTGGTATAAGATGCTTCTGCCCCAGATATCTGTGTTGAGATGATGGTAGTGCATAAGAATAGGATGTTGCTTGTCATTACATTTATCAGACATGTAGCATGCTTTATTTTGTGTATAATAGAAATGTGAAGAAACATGCTTGTTCTGACTACCCATATCTAGATTTTATTAAGCCTGCCTGACATTTACTTTCAAAAGAGAGTAAGTTAGTAAAAAACCAAAAAGCAAAAAAACAAAAACAACCCCCCCCCCCCCCAAGAAACAAACAAAAAATAACTCCCATAAAAGATAAATGTCAGAGAAGTAAAAAAGAATTCCAGGAGACAGGAATTATGTTTTTGATCAAAAAGATCCAGAAAGAAATTACTGGCTTTCTTATCACATCAATCTACTTGGCATTGATTTTCAAGGACTAATAGGTTTGGTGTTATGGTGAACAGCCTGGGCAGTTGCCCCAGAACTGAACCTGAGGTTTTACAGGACTAGTCAAGCCTCTGATAAACCTGGGATGCTTCCCTGGCAACCCCCAAAGGTGTACCTGGTAGAATTTATGCCATGGACTGCTGGAATGGAGCCAGGGTGGAGGCAGGGAGGGGGGCTTGAGCCACCTGTTGGTTTTGTGGAGTGAAGCAGAAGCAAGCTGCTGCTGCAAGAAGCACTATCATTGCAAGAGCCAAGGTAACCCTTCCCTGGCTCTGCAACCATCACGGTTTTATATGGCAAGTGAGGATCCAAAGCCCTGAATTCATTGGCAACTGTATGTGAAGGGAAGTGTTAGCTTGGCTCCTGGAGGTGACACCTAACATGTTCTCTTGCAGCAGTGTCTGCCCCCACTCTGCTCCATGGAGGGCTCTGCTCTCTGCCTCCATTCCAGTGTCTTTCTGTACCGAGTGCCCTGCGCCTGCATATCCTTTGAAAAGCATCTGCCTCTATCACTTCTGGCATGTGTGCTATGGGTCATCCCTGAGCTACACTATTTTAGCACTGTGAAGGGACTCCAGTGGAGTGTAAAACCTCCACAGTATCTCTCCTAGTACTGGAAGCAGGAAAAGTAAGATTCCCTTGCAATGTAAACTCAAGGTCTACCAGGCAGGGTAGAGAACAGGTTGCAAGGAGACTTAAGTGCATGGGACTCCAGTTATGTTGTGCCAGCATAATGGCACAGTGGCCATACAAACTGATAGAACCATCACAGTGTAGATCAGCACTATAGACCACAGTCAGAATCAAAGAGATACAAAGGTGTTTTAAACTCAACCTTGTACTGTGCTCCAGTTCTCTCTACACAATACCAAAGGACCCAGGAACTTGATTGAAAGAAAAATGAAACTTTCTCCATAAGTTGCAAGAGTCTTGGAATCTTTTGTTTACTGAAGAGAATAAGTGAATTCTAGTCTAACTTATTGGTGGTTGCCTCTGTGATGGGGCCTGGTTGGCTATCCCACAAAAAATATATTTTCCTGTATAATGGTAAAATTATTTTTTGTGTGTCTGCATTTTATTTTCCTGAACTAACTTCTTAGAAAACAAAGGAAGTACCTTTGGGGAAATCCTTTATCAAGCTAAAATTTATTCTAGGATTATCCCAGCCAACTTGCTGGGATAATACACACCTCTCTTTGGAAACTGTAGGTGTGTTGGAAAAAAAGTCAGTTTTGTGCATTCACCAAACCAAGACAATCAAAAGAATTCTTTGAAGTGATAAAATAAACTTTCTTGTTTACTCCTAGCAAATGAAAGTAGGACGTAATCCTCGCATCTTGTTGGCAAGGACTTGTATTGGAGAACCAACACTCATAACTTTCCTGTAGAAGCTGAATTTTTCAAAGGAAATATCTAAACCGAGGTATGTGCAAAATCCAAGTGTATACAGACAAAGTAGATAACAGCATTCCATTGGGCCTCCATGAGAGTTCACATTTTTGGGGGTTCATCGTATGAGATAATTATGAGATAGCCACACTCTATCATGCATTAACACATGCATCACAAACAGGTCTAAGGAAGTGATACATTCCCTCTATGTGGAATTGGTAAGGCTGCAGCTGGAGTACTGTGTCCAGTTTTGGGCGCTGCACTTCAAGAAGGATGTGGACTACCTTGAGAGGGTCCAGAGGAGGGCTACATGTATGGTTTGGGGCCTGCAGGTAAGGCCCTACGAGGAGAGTTTGAGGGACCTGGAACTCTTCAGCCTCCACAAGAGAAGGCTGAGAGGTGATCTGGTGGCTGTCTACAAATTCACCAGGGGGAGGGAGGGAAGGGGGCATCAAGGAATAGCAGATACTCTGTTTACCAGGGCGCTCCTTAGGGTGACTAGAAACAATGGCCACAAATTGACAAAGAGCAGATTTAGATTAGATTTCAGGAAGAATTTCTTCATGGTAAGGGTTACCAGAATCTGGAATGGGCTTCCAAGGGAGGTGGTGCTCTCCCCTACCCTGGAGGTCTTTAAGAGGAGACTGGACAAACACCTGGCTGGGGTCATCTGACTCTAGTGCTCTTTCCTGCCCAGGGCAGGGGGTCAGACCTGATGATCTACTGAGGTCCCTTCCGACCCTAAAAATCTATGAAATCTATGAAATTTTTGGAAAATTTGCCTAATTGATATCTTTATTGGCATTTTATCAGAATGAGTAAGGACTGAATGGGCAGAACTGTCCTTTGCCTCTAAAGATGGCTATTTGTGGTCAAGAAGAAAACATAGAGGTAGAGAAATCATAAACTGTTCTCACCTGCACAATAAGGAGATGACTTCATGTTTCAGGACTATCAATCTGTCATTTTTTGTGAAATGAATTCATTTAAGAGACCCCATTTCCCAGAAGAAAAATATATTCTGGAAAAGGTCCAGCTTGTAGAAATATTATAAGAAATTACTTATCCACTCAGGACAGTCCAAAAATAATGCTTGCTTCTATTGCAAAACAGTCCATGATACATTATAGAAGGAAAATGGAATATGTAATTCTTAGCTCCTTCAACAGAGGGGGAAAAATTATCTCGGCCTTTCCTATCAGCCAAATTGAAATTCCATTTCCTGGATTTATGTTATGGATTATTTAGTTAATTTCTGCTTGATGTTTCACATCTGATAGCACCTTGCCCATCAGCTCTCATCTCTACAGGGCAGATTCTGATTTGTGTTACACTTGTAAATCCGGTGGGCACATATTGATTTCATCATGAATGTTAGGATAACTGAAATCAGACTCTAGCTCCTATTTTCAAATTTCCTTTCTACCTCCTGTAGCATTTAAGTAAAATCTTCTATCTGTTTGTCCAAGAAAGTTATTTTAGACTGGATTACATCTTGCTGTTTAATAAAGGAGTCTTAACTCTTGATGATGAGAATGTGAAATATGAAAAGGTCAATCTCACAATTGAGAATTTGGCACGTTACTGCTGGGTATTATGCGAAATGTGCCCTATTCTGAATAATTTGGGGGAGTAAAATAACCTGACCTACATGCATCTAATAGAAATCCTTCCCCTCAAATACACAAATAAAGCCAACCTTCATGGATAATCATCTGCCATCTTGATTGATGTTTGTGATTTCTCCTCTCTCTGCTGCATCACCTAAATGTACCTTGCACTTGTCACTTTCCCTATTGGTATTTTTAGTGAACAGCTATCTGCTTAATTATACTCATGGAATTATACTCATGCCTTTCTTTTTAAAATATAATTCGTTATTTTGGACAGTATGTTGATCATGGGTAAGAATGATATGCTTTAAAAGAGGGTCTTCTATGTATTTTTAAGTTGTCCACTTCAGCTTTATTTTGTTTTGTTTTGTTTTGTTTTGTTTTGGGGGGCGGGGGGGGGGGGGGT